TAAATACACTTCGCCAAGGACCTTATGAAAAAGTGGATTTTTATGCAGGAAAATTTAAAAGATTGTTAAAGAAAGTCAATTCTTCAAGTGCTTTATCAGATAAATATACTGTAAGACTTTTTCTTAATAGATTAAGGAAGAATATCGTTCCTCTTGTAGCATTTAATCATCCCAAAAATATAGAAGAAGCTATTGATGCAGCTAAACAAGTTAAAAGTGGTCAATATTATGAACAATAATCTCTTGTACCAACTCAACCAAGTGGAAATAATAATGCTATCGATAATCTTACTAAACAAATGGAACAACTATCCCTAAACTATGCAACTCTCTCCAATGCATTATCCACACAACTTGAAGGAAAACCTGAAAGAAGAAAGCTAAAAGATGATAGAAAACTTACAAAAGTTTGGGATACAAAGGCTTGGGATAAAAAGGATGTTATTTGTTATTGTTGTCAAGGAAAAGGATATTATTCAAAAGAATGCATATCTGAAAAACCAGTATATCGAAAGAAATCTGATAAAAGAGAAGCCAGTTATGTTGAAGTTTTTACGGATAGTGAAGAAGAAGAAATTGAAGAAGTAGAGGAGGAAGAAGTCTATGCCCTCCCACAAAATAAACCTTATACCATTAATAGAAAAACTGCTCGACAATTAGAAGAAGAAAGAAAGAGACAATCTGAATCCAGAAGGGAACTAAACTTGAGAAACAGAAAACCCATTAATGAATTTATGGAAGTAGAAACCCCGCAAATTATTACTTCTACTCAAAAGAAGAAAGTTAAACGAGAGCCATCCCAAATCGATCAAATCGCACCCTATAATGTCATGCAAGATTTATTACAAATGCCTTCTTTTGCAAAAATTGGTCAGCTTTTACAATATTCAAATCAAAGACGTAACCTTGCTCAAGGGTTAAGGAGACCAAAAATTCAAGAAACAAATTATACTAATCAAGAAAGTGATGAAGAAAAAAAGACAAATCTACAGCCATTCGTCGTTATGTTAGAATTAAAGGAAATCCTGTTGTTGCTATCTTAGATTCTGGTACTGCTGTCAGCATTATCACTAGGAAGTTAATGAAAAAAGTAGGATTATCTATTGATGAACAGTCTAATACTGTCATAGTCATTGCTAATGGAGAAAAGACTAGAGCATTAGGACAAGTTAAAAGAGCTCAAATTGCCATCCAAAACCTATTAATTCCTATCTCTCTGTAAGTTATCGACTCACAAGATGAAATCTTACTTTTAGGAATGGATTGGTTTAGAAAAACTCATGCTAGCCTTGATTTCGGAACCAACCAAATTAGGTTGAGATATTTGGCAAAAACAATTACAATTCCTGTAACTTCTAGTGCAAATGAAGCCCTGTTAGTTATCCTACTACTCAAGATCAACAAGATGATGAACTAGAACAAGTTTTGGATGATTATGAGGAAAAGGAACTTAGCGAAATTGAAGCGTATATGGCAAACAGTCAAGAAGAATATGAGTTGGAAACTGACCTTCTACCTCTTGACTACAACCCCTGGAATGAAGAAAATCATGTCTATTTAATTCTAGCATTAATGAAGAATTCGAAGCTAATCCAGCAGTATTTCTTGCTGAAACTTCTAAAGAAAATATTTGGAAAATTAAGGATGACCTTCAAAGTTGGACCTTTTGATGACAAGCAACAAATGTCCTTTCAAAAATCAATTGATGATTATGAAGATATATGTGCCTTAAGCTAAATAAAAATTGGACGAACTAGTTTGGTAAAACATAACATTTTGACCAATAATCATGATTCAGTTACCATAGGAGCTTATAAATGCAAAGATCCAGTAAAGCTTAATTTTCTCAAAAATGAAATCAAACGTATGAAAGAAAATGGAATTATCAGGAAGTCGTTAAGTCCCTGGGCTTCTCCTGTAGTTATATTAGCAAAGAAAACTAGAGATAAACGAATCTGCATTGATTATAGAAAGCTAAATTCTATTTCTAAAAGTGATGCATATTCTCTACCAAGAATTAACGATTTACTAAAAAAATTTAGAGGAGCAAATTGGTTTTTTACACTTGACCTTGCTAGTGGTTATTGGCAGGTAGAAATAAGTGAAAAAGATAAGGAAAAAATCGCATTTATTTTACAATTTGGTCTATACAAATTCAATGTTATGCCTTTTGGACTAAAGAATGCACTAGTAACCTTCCAAAGGTTAATAAACCATATCCTTCAAGAATTCTTGTATGAGTTTGTTGCTGTCTATTTAGAAGATATTATTATTTACTCAACAACTTATGAGAATCATATTCAACATTTGAGAAAAGTATTCCAAGTGATCAAGCAAGC